CAACATCAACATCGCTACCACAATCACGGCCCTCACCCGTTACCACCAAACAATCAGCAACAACGACAGAGGCCAATCCACGGCCCAAGCAACAAACCCCAAGCATGCCTTTTAACAACGGCGAGGCGAACTACCCGCCCTCTCTCCCAATACACCCTCGAGGTCTTTCACCTCGTGCGCTCCAAAACTTACCCACTTGCCTCGTCAAAGTCGTCCAGTGGCAGGAAGCCGTCGTCGAGATCATGCACGGGCACCTGTTCGGATGATGCCAGGGCCAAGCCATGAGGTGGCTCGTCCGGACATCGAGGGTTCTGAGTTGCGGTTGCGAAGATTTGCCAGGATCCCCGCGCCGGCCATTCACACCGTCCACTCGTACTAGCGACTAGTGCAGTCCACAGTATTGCAGTAATAATCTCTTCTTCAACAACCAGGCCCAAAAAAGTTCACACTTTTTCGGACAGATCTAGTACATAGGGCCAAAAAGTTTAAAGTTCTCCCATTGGCTATCTAAGACAACCACTACAATAACCACTCATCACATGCCGAGGCCGACGAATTCAGCAAATGGCTGTGAAGAGATGCGACTGCAAAACAGGCGGCGTCGTAACTTCGATCCTTCCGCAAATCGTAAAGTGATGTGATACCACCTAGCCATCTACCCTGTCTCTGCTTTTTCACTCCGCTTACGTGAGATCATTGCGGCTGTTCGTCGCCTCCCCGGGTTAATCTCTTGGGAGATGCGCGCTGATGCAAGCAATCTAGGAGAATGTTCATCCTAGCATGGAGTCGAGGCGGTAGTTAGAGAGTGCTGCCTCCCAACGACACTCCCATCGCATGAATGAAGTGGAACGGGATTCTGCGAGGTAGCAGGGGAAACAAGAAGGTGGCCTCGAACTGGGATCGCGCAGTGCTGGAGCGAAGCTCTGCGGCCTCCAAGCATGATCGTGCGCCGAGAAGCAAGCTCTCACGAAAGCACCAGGTTGAATGCAGTCGAATGGTCCGCAAGTGGCGAGCCTGAACTCCTCTCAGCCTCACTGACTGACTAGACTAGACTACCCGATTCGACGAAGCCCACGTTAAGCGAGGCCATGCAAGAACACATATGCTTGTCATCGCATGTCAGCCAGACATAACCAGATTGCAAACTGCACAGGGCCAGGATGGAGTTTCGGGGCCCTAGGGTCGTTGACTCACAGCTTGCAGCTGGAGCTTGTGGCATCAGAGGTTTGGTTCAGAATTCGGACATCCATTGTTGACTTGGTGCCTGTGGCCTTGAGCATGCAGCCTCGTCCTGCCTGCATCTAAGTCTAGGCAGGCCTGGCTGTTGAACACGAACAAGGCAGTCTGCACAGAAATTGAATGACTTAGGCTGAAAATGGGTGAGGGCAGGCTGAAAATGAGAACCCACGATAAGGACCTAACAGCTCTCTCTACCCGTACATATGACCAGTGCTGATCCCGTTTCTACAAACCTGAGAATAAGCCTCCTCGGGTGGTAGGTCTTCCAGGCCAAGCCTATCCAGTTCGTTGGTGCTGTCCTGAAAGGGCTGCTCCCAGCTCTTTGCTTGAATTTCCCGCAACTCGGACAATGCTGAGGCACATGTCGTAGTGTACTGAATCTATCTATCTATCATCTGTCTACCTATCCGTCTTTGCATCTACCTAGCTAGCCAGCCAGCTATCGATCTCTTTATGGATCTATCTACGTATCAATCTGTCTATCTTCCTATCTATCGCATCGATCAATGATCTGTCTGCCTATCTTTCGGTAGATCTATCTATCTATCCATCCATTCGGCCAGCCAGCTACCTAGTTATCTACTTTCTATCTATTCATCTACTAATTACCTGTCAACCAACAACCCCTCAATCAACCTACATACCTACCTATTCATACAAAGGGCGTGTAGGCAAGTCTACGATGGAGGTCGGGTCGGAAACAAGCAACTGGCGATGCGAAGCAATGGTTTCGGAAAGCAAGCCTAACATTACCGATTACCCTTGCCCAAATCCCGTCTGGCCAAGCATCAACGAGCTTTGGTCTGCGTCGCAGCGTGGAATCCCGAACGGCCTGCGTGCAGAGCCTTATTGAAACATATATGGTCTCAGACCTTCATCAATCCCGAATCCCGCAAACTCCAAACAAAGGCGCGAATTCCAAACCCTGAATCGCCTCCTATAACCTCCATTCTCTCAAGCGGCCTCTGGCAACTTCGGCTTTACAGCCTCAGCCGCCGCCTCGTCATCCTGCACCAGGCATATGTCACACTTGCAATAGTGAGAGGCCCTTGAAGCTATCATGTTTGCTATTCCTCGAAAAATCTTCGTCAGAGCGGAGCTCCTTACCGCACCAGGCGGAAAAGCATTTAGGTAAATTTCTGACCGTGGGGGATCATTATCGCACCCGAAATGCTCAGGAATCCCAGGCAACGCCTCCGATGGGAAGGTAGTACTTTATGTTCGGACATTGAGTCATCCTTCGCCGGGTAAACAACTGAAACACCGTTTGTGCCAAATTCCTGCAAGTGTGTGGAAATACGTGAGAGACTGGCCCTCTGCCCAAGCTGGTGTCAAGTGTGTGAGTAAGGCCTTCGCGAGATGTGCCCACGATTCAAAAGCGCTAGTCGGCATACAGTAAGAGTTGCTATCCTTGTCCGCCCCTGTGGTACCACCACCAGGAGCGCTTCGCGTGAAACCACCTGCCGACGCTCGAGGCACTTCGAGGACCGGTAACAGTAAGAGTTCTTTTTTTTCATCCCACCTAGCTAGGACGAGCCCGCATTGCAGGGTACGGGAACAGTCAAAAGCACAGTTGCAGACAGCTAGTATAAGCCCAGTCAGTAACGGTTCTTCGGGGTTTGGGTTCATGCTGGCGCGCCTGCAGCGAGTCAGAACTGCCTGTTTGCATCCATAGGCCTGTAGGCCTCCACCCGCTGTACTCGCTGACCCTAGATCGTGGACGTGTCGAACTGACAAGCGTCCTCTGTGAGTATGTCTGTTGGCTTTCTAAAGGGCAACAGATTCACAAGACCAATCCAACAGACAAGCAAACATACTTACATCGTGCTCGGCCTTCTGACTGTCAACCGAACTAGTCTGACCCTGACCGGCGAAGGCTCTACATAGGATCCAAAGCAGTGGTTTCTGAGGGATGCTTGTCTTTACGGTGGACAAGCCACACAAACACTTCCACGCGTGTTTTTCCAGGGACAAAGCTTCCAACTGGAATGACCTGAGGAGCATCCGCTGCAACCAAGCACGGGAATATTCCAGGACAACGAACATCTCAAACATGGGACTGAAGTCGAGACAACCCCTAGATCGCACGTTAACGGAACCCATACAAAAGACGATAACAGACTACGTACTATAGGTTCCAACCCCGAAGGACCTCCAACCTTGCGCCGCAAGAGTCAGAAAAGCCAGCCCTTTGGAAGCTACCGCCAGAATCATCGATGTTAGCCTATGTCCGAACAAGTCGACTTGACTTGTGAAAATCGCCCATGTGACCTGCCAAAGGCCTTGATTAAACAGGCAAGCGTTCTGCCCCATTGCAAGTCATCTAGCCAGATGAGTGCAGGAACCCAAAGGCACAAGGAACACTAAGCCCATCTGTCTAGGAGTTCTCAATACACATGGCTGAGGTTCAATTGGGACAATCGCGGCAGATACCCCAGCCCAAGAAAACCCACTGATTCGAAGTACTACTGGCTCCCGGCCATAAAACCGACAGTCTTGAAGGCATTAGCGACCTACAGAGCGTCCGAGGTCTTCGGCCCAGGGCTGGCTTGGAACCTGCCCAAATCTGACACAGTTGCGACAGTGGCCAACTAGACCGTTAGCGAGTTGCAGTGGTCAGTCTCGTGATCGATCAGAAGTAGCTAGGACAAGTAGCAAGTGACAAGTAGCAGTAGGTACCAGGTCGCCGTCGTCGTAGTCGCAGTAGCAGCAGCAGTGCTGGCAGTGGTAGGCAGGGTAGTGAGTAGAAGTAGCAGGACTAGTAGGTAGTAGTAGTCGTCGTCGTCGCCGTCGTCGTAGTCGCAGTAGTCGTAGTGATCTAGCAGCAGCAGCAGTAGTAGCAATAGAGCTGTAGCAGTAGCACGAGCTATGGTGGTCGCAGAAACGGCAGCAGCAACAGCAGCAGCAGC